CCGAACATACGCCTGAACAACCCTGATTATAACCCCTAAACCACCCTACCACAACCTCATACATCGCCCCCAACACAAATCACTCCCCAACACACTCCATCATCTTAATTCTGTTTACAAACCACATCAACCCCCACCAACACCCCACCTAAACATACAAACCCTCGCCCCCTCACAACACCACATCCCCCTCCACCCCCTACCCTCCCCTACCCCCCCCCCCCCCAACTACCCCCCCCACCCCACCCCCCTCCCTCCGGCCGCCCGCTACACCACGCGCCCCCGCGCCACCGACAGGGTCTGCTACACAACCCCCCCCCCCCCCATTGCCCCCCCCCCATACCCCAGCCCTCGGAGAAAATGCTCTAACGTGTGCCCCCACCCAACCCCCCCCTCCAACCCAACCCCCCCCCTGACACATTGCTCTACCTCATACAAACATCCCCCCCCCCAACTACAAAACCCCCCACCCCCACCAACCTCCCCCACACCCCTCCCCCACCCCCCCCACCCCCCCCACCCCCCCCCCCCCCCCCCCCACCCCCCCCCCCCCCCACCCCCCCCCCACCCCCCCGGCAATTCCGCAAGTGTTATCAGACCCGTTCATTTACACGCATTCGCCTGTGTAACTGACAACCGTTACTTAAATGTATTAACAGGTAATTGCTCTCTTATTTACGTCCTATATGTTTGAATCGAAGATGAATGTCTGCTGGGCATAACGGAGGATAATTATGGGTTAAGTTGTTGTACCGCAAACGCTTGCAGCAAGGAGGTATTTTTATCAAATATTCCTTGTTTCTCAGGTAATAGACGGATGTTATATGAACACCAGCTGGTAGAACCTTGCGTATGTTCGTCAATCGACAATTTTAAATAAAAAAACATAAATTCAGCCTTACCGTTTGAAGCCATAGCGGTTTGATTTTTAACAGATTTTACCTATCTTTATAAGTGAACTTAGAGTAGCGGCCCATGATTCTTTTAGTAACCGACCATTTTCTCTCTTCGATTTTACTCAGCTAGCCACTCCTAATGCTACTAAACGTGGTAGCACAGCAATCTGATAGTGATCTGGCAAACAGTTTGTATGAGGGAAGATTATCATTGCTTGTTATAAAAATGTAGCCAGTAATTCAAATAGTCTCTTGTGTTTTAGCCACCGTATAAGCAAAGTGTATTATGAAATTCAACGAACCTGGTTAACGCAGAACGAATTCACATATTGTCAGGCTTAAAATAGAGGGATTCCATGCAGAAACAAACAGTAATTTGAAACTAAGCATCTAAGGCACATGTAGCTGCATTTAGACTTTTAAAAATTCATGGAAGATCCGACACACAAGCATTCCGAGGAAACCAGGTCAATTTGGATCGCAGATATAAGAGACGGAGAAGGAGAATCAGTAAAATAAAAATGTCAGATTATCTGCCAAAAAACAAGGTATACCATTCCTCATTGCGCGGAAAAAGTCACTTGCACATCTCAAAATCAAGATGGTCGAGTACACTACCTTGCAACAACTCAAAATTCATATCTCTTGTTTCCGACAGATACTCATGCATTTTGACTATCTGCTTTCGACCAGTGAGGTAAGCTTCTAACATGGATAGTATTGAGCCTGCTATTACACAAATGGGAAAGTTATACGCTATGCTAGCGGGTCTGTGCGAAGGGGACATGTTCAATGTTTTTCTTGAAATCCCAAAGTTTAAAGTTATGATACAAGTGAATTCCGGGAGGAAGGTTTTTGTTTGTACCGTCCAATTTGTATAATTAAATTTTATCTTGCGGCTGACTACGTTTCATTGTATATCTCTTCTGACAACACCTAATCGTATTCTTAATTCATATTGCACACTGCAATAGGTGTGTTTTTGTTGGAAGAGTTAAAAAATAAAACTTCATTTTTATCCTGTTGCAGCTCTATTGCTTCTGAATAAAATTATTATGCATGATTTATGGAAACGACAAGTTGTCTCGGTTTTAACCTAGGCCCGGTTCTTTGGGTTGGTGTCTCCATCGTTAGTTTTCAATGATGGGATAAAACCCAGATGTCAGAATCACGGTTAATTTTAACCTTTAGTAACTGGCATTTGACATGCAAGGTCCGCGCGCCCTAACACAATTCACATATGACAAATAAATCGGGTTCATACTGGTTGAGCTGTCTTTGACAAACGCAGCATTTTTACAATAAATTATACTTATAGATGTATACATATATATACATATATAATGAGCTGATATCATTTTAGTCTTATATCATAATCCAGGGAAAATCGTACAGTTGACAACTTTATCGAATGACTGAACATATATGTTTATTATGAATGGATGTATTTATTAAGTTATTAAAATATATTGGAAAGGGAATATATTGTCTTCCACAAAGCCGAATCATGGAAAATATACACTGCATGCGTGTCTGACTTGTCGATGGCAATGTCAATTTTTCTTTTTTATTCTTATTCTCTCCTAGGAAACGCAAAACTCACCTGATTCGCGCTAATTAGTTGTACGATGCGTGGTTTGTTAGTTTCAACATCAGCGAAATTGCAAAGCAGCGTTTTTTATATCAGGATGCTACGGCAGGCAATCACTGAATACATGAGAGAAATGTTTGGGTTTCGTTTAGTAAACAAGCCGACCTAGAGAACCTCGTGCTCATTTGTTTCTGAACTGCTTAGACCAGAATCAAGTTTTCGTTTTGTGAAAGTTCGGAATAATGACTTTGATTCCCATAGGTGGAAGCAGAACCTTGTTCAATAATTAATGCCCAGTACCACTTCTTTTTGTACTCTGCAAACTCCTAGAATCCCTTGTTGCCGATACGTTTGTCTGATAGCTGGAGAACTGCAATTTCATGACTATTGTGCAACACGGCTTCCGTTTATCACGGTCTTGCAAAACTAGTGTAAAACTCGCACCAAATAGTTTAACCGAGACACCTGATGCTGGAGAAGGAATTGGTGTAATCTACCTTGATTTTTAGAAGGTTTCTGATTGATAGACCATAAAATAATGGTTTCCAAGCTCCAGCATTACGGGATCAATGATTTCATTTTAAGATGAATTAACAACTATATACTTCAACAGCCATTAGTATTCAGTGTTTGGATCTCTTTATCCGACATTTTGCAAGTGGAATTTGGTGTGCCGAAAGGCCCAGGTTTAGTTCTGCGTCTGCTTTTTGTGTTTATTTGTGATATCAAACAGGCAGTCGGTTCAGACTTCCTGATATTCGCCGAAGATATCGAGATATGGCGCAGGTTTTGAGTGAATTCCTTTCAGCATTTGATTGTGACTGAACTTTATACAGCATAACAATGTTCAATCCGAAATGTACTACATTCTAAAGTGAGGAAATGCAAAGTAGATTCCATCCAACAAAAGAGCAGCTTCTCTCGCCTGCTTGGAACATGTGTACTGCAGCAAATAACTCGCAAACGTGACTTGTGGGTGCTGGTTCAAAATGGCTTGCCCTACTTAAGACCATCAGAAAATACCTCGAACACTCGATACCCACAGGTCGGGCTGTTGCGACGGGCTTTTTGGAAAAACATGTGGCTCCATACTTAGAAAAATGCTGAGTGTGCTGGTTCGCTTTCATGTGGAATACGCAACTGAAACCTAACATCCGTTGTTAAAACAAGATATAAATACACTGGAGTAGCCATAAACGCGGGTATGTCAGAACGTAACTGAAATGCGCAACCTTCGTACGAGGAGAGGCTGCAACGATTGGGGACATTTAGCGGACGGCGTCCCAGTTTAACGAAGCGACCTGATTATGGCATATTTGATTCTGCACGGTCCGCCTCAATTTTGTCACCTTTTACTGCATCTCAGCAGCAATACAAATCTGAACGGCCAACAATTTGAACTAGCCGCATAGTATATATGTCTGAAGTACAAAGAAATTTCATTTACAGTCCTGTCTGTAACCCGTGTAAATTTTTCCGAGAATTGGTCGACTTTGCACCGATGTTTACAGTATTTAACAGACGCTTGGTTGACGCACTCATCCACTTATAATTTTTTATAACGCTACCTCTTGATCCGACTCCTAGAATGTACCTTTGATTTATTTGATGATAACGGTAGTTGCTCTGAATATATCCGGCTTTTAAAAGTATAACAGAGCAAAGCGTAACTCCTTCTTTACATATTTAAGCTACGGTTTGATTATGGATACATTTTTCTTTATTATTTAGATAACCCCACTAAGGATCCAACGGGACTTTTAAAGCAACTCTTATGAACACGTATAAATTTAGTTTTTATTGTTTATTGTTCAGTAACAGCATGCTGAAAGAACCAGACTACAATTACTTCGCAAGTATGGTAATTCAGCTGTGGTCGTCTTTGTGTATTCTGGTGATTTGCAACCTCTATAACGTACCGGAATATCAGACGTAAAGTCTGCTTTTCTTGCTTAGCTGTTTTAGGGTTTTGCACCGCTTTGTCCACACTTATATAACAACTCACGCACGAACACGCTTCAAATTAGTCTATTAAACCTTGGTCTAATAAAGAATACCTTGTGAGAGTAGCAAACGTGTTTACCTGAATTCAGAAATGCATTCTCTTATTTTCTTGTTTTTCGTTGGACCTATTAATTGGTTACCCACCAATAACGTGGCACTTCACGTAATTTTGGATTTCAACACCGGTAAATTGACTAGCGCTATCGAGTAGCACTTGACCAATTATCTGTGGAAAGTATTGCAAACTGAAAACATCAGGGTGAACGAGTGTATCCACTAATATGTTAACTAAAGTTGTGGTTTTGCAGATACATTAGGATTATAACAGAATGACTTAAGATATTTACGCAGCTGCGTGGTAAATTACTTGCATCATGACTGATGTTTGCAGCTGGTCAACTCTGAGTGCTTTTGTTCGTTTTCTAACCTAATCTGAATTATGTTAAACTAAATGGTTTTGTCGTTCTACCAGACAGGATAGAACAGTGGATTACAAGTTAGTTGCTTGATTTTACGTGATGTTAAAGAAATGCAAATAACGTAAAATAAATAATTGGTTTTCCTAACCAACATGGATGTTAGCTATCTCCCATGTCTTGAACGAGGAAAATACATGATAGTCCAATCGCTCATATTTTTTTCTTTATAACAATAATTTGTACGCTGTTATACAATTGTAATCGCGAAAGAATTTTGTCTCTGGAATGAGGAAATTATTAAATGTGCCAGTTTAATCCGAAATGCACTAAATCACCCCCAGGTTAGAACTAATTGAATCAGATATTTTGAGAGTTACCAATGAATATAGTAGAAGAGGTACGCATTCAATGTGTAACCAAGAAGTACTACGTATATATAATACATGGGATTATGTAAGCAAAAATACAGTATGCCCACAGTTAGGGTTTTAGAGAGCACAACCAAGAAATACACCGTAATGCATGCTTTTTCATCCCAAGCATATTTCAAGCTTGGTTTCCATTAAATGTTCACGATGTGGAGGGCATGCATCCTGTGCGGGAATGAGAATTCAAAATAGATTTATAGGGTAAATGTGAGGCTTCAATCCGCATAACGTGTTCTTACATTTTCATATTTAGATATTCCTATTATTTT